TAAAAAAGTCAGTTCTTACAGCAAGAATGATATGGCACAATGCATTAGGAAGACTTGTGCAACTACAAAAATATACCCTCTCCAGTTGAACCTTACACCCCTCAATTTCTGAATTGACTATGTCACATTGCAGCAGAAGATACTTTTTCACACTGCTTACTCTGCTGTTCTGGCATAAAGAAGGGGTGTGCATTTCCAAAGCAAAGCCAAGTGGATGATTGGCATTATGTTTCCACCAGTGTAAACACTTTTTAGTTTTGTAACTGAGTATTATATATATGGCTACTGGAGTAGTTTGATAGCTGTCATAAACTTTTGTCTTCCAACACTCTAAAAAAAGAATGTTAAGTTCTTGCTCAACTAATCTAACCCAAACTCTCCCTCTCTGTTCCAGTAAATGTCAATTGATTGAAAACATATCCTTGAAAAAAAACAGCATTTTTTTTTTACAATAAAAAAACAATTATAGTAAAAATAATGAAGTTGCCTGTACACTATAAGCTCCTCCAGACTTCAATTTTGTATACCATGGAATGAGATATCAAAATAAAGCAACTGAATTATGTAAAAGATAATGATTCTAGCGCTATCAGGGTCCACAACAAAGTGAACAAACAATACAACAAATATTGTAAGCACCTACCACAATTTAATTTGATATGAAATAAGTATACTATTTCTCGGGGCAGACACCGAGGCATTTTCATTGCCTGGCAACATCACTGGTGAAAACAAAAGCGGAAAACTGTATTTAGGGCTAGTTGTAGAGACTCTTCCGAACAGTTCAACAAGACTACCCTTACATGTGCAAAGTTGAATTTGTGTTGTTTTCACAAGCTTTTGACAGGAGTTTGAAAGAAGCTCACACAGTGTCCATAGCAATATATGGTACAGTGGTGTGCCTCTGAGCAACATAGATTTTTCTGTAATGTAGCTCCACCCTTGAGAATAAACCTTGATATACACATATTAACATACAGACATACTTGTACATGTAATTACATTAAAACAAATAAGACATTACAAAAGCAGCATTCATATTCCCTCAACAATCTTTCCTTTTTCCAAAAAGCGAGATAAAAAGTGGTGTATTATGTGTATTGTAAACATCTGAATATCTACAACAGGCTAACAGCTATTATGAACAATCAATATGTTGATATCATATATAGAAAATGTGGCCTGCCATGATGACAACAACCAATATGTTGGCTGCCATGATGAAAACTGCCAACCACTGCCATGGTGACAACAGCCAACCACTGCCATGGTGACAACAGCCAACCACTGCCATGGTGACAACAGCCAACCACTGCCATGGTGACAACAGCCAACCACTGCCATGGTGACAACAGCCAACCACTGCCATGGTGACAACAGCCAACCACTGCCATGGTGACAACCGCCAACCACTGCCACGGTGACAACCGCCAACCACTGCCACGGTGACAACCGCCAACCACTGCCACGGTGACAACCGCGAACCACTGCCACGGTGACAACAGCCAACCACTGCCACGGTGACAACAGCCAACCACTGCCACGGTGGCAACAACCAACCACTGCCACGGTGGCAACAACCAACCACTGCCACGGTGACAACAACCAACCACTGCCTTGGTGACAACAACCAACCACTGCCATGGTGACAACAACCAACCACTGCCATGGTGGCAACAACCAGCCACTGCCATGGTGGCAACAACCAGCCACTGCCATGGTGACAACAGCCAACCACTGCCACGGTGACAACAGCCAACCACTGCCACGGTGACAACAGCCAACCACTGCCACGGTGACAACCAGCCACTGCCACGGTGACAACAACCAGCCACTGCCGCGGTGACAACAACCAGCCACTGCCACGGTGACAACAGCCAGCCACTGCCACGGTGACAACAGCCAACCACTGCCACAGTGACAACAACCAACCACTGCCACGGTGACAACAACCAACCACTGCAACGGTGACAACAACCAACCACTGCCACGGTGACAACAACCAACCACTGCCACGGTGACAACAACCAACCACTGCCTTGGTGACAACAACCAACCACTGCCACGGTGACAACAGCCAACCACTGCCACGGTGACAACAACCAACCACTGCCATGGTGACAACAACCAACCACTGCCATGGTGACAACAACCAACCACTGCCATGGTGACAACAACCAAATACTGCCATGATGACAACAACCAAACACTGCCATGATGACAACAACCAACCACTGCCATGGTGACAACAACCAGCCACTGCCATGGTGACAACAGCCAACCACTGCCATGGTGACAACAGCCAACCACTGCCATGGTGACAACAACCAACCACTGCCATGGTGACAACAACCAGCCACTGCCATGGTGACAACAGCCAACCACAGCCACGGTGACAACAGCCAACCACAGCCACGGTGACAACAGCCAACCACTGCCATGGTGACAACAGCCAACCACTGCCATGGTGACAACAGCCAACCACTGCCATGGTGACAACAGCCAACCACTGCCATGGTGACAACAGCCAACCACTGCCATGGTGACAACCGCCAACCACTGCCATGGTGACAACAACCAACATGTTGAATAAGATAATTTCTTTAACACATAATACACCAACAAGTGAAGCCTGTTGAGAAGTGAAGTCATCAACCACAATTGTATAAACAGAATCAGATGCACAATAATAATAATAATAAAATGTACAAATTCAAGAAGCAAAGTTTTTCTTGTTTCCAAATTAAAACTATTCGTGATAGCACTCTAGAAAGTGCAAGAACCATGTTTTTCCTAAAAGAAACAGGTTTTATTGAATTTGGGTTTAAGTAGTGTAAGACCCTCAATATCTCACAGAATATCACTTTAAAAAATCACCAAACATACTTAAAATAACCAAACAAACAACAAAAGGCTTCTATATAACAGAAAAGTATTTCCGCTTACGATAAGTTAATTTAAAAAAAAAAATACTAAAGTTTAGACGATGTAAATATTCTAATTCATTTTATACAATATATTACAATAAAAGGTATACACATATTACATATAAAGAGCAGATGGTATTCTAGAGTAAATCAGGATATTTGACTGATAGCTACTCACTCAATCTATGCACTACATCTGTACAATTGATCTGATATCATACTAGGATGAAATACTAATGCATGCATGAATTTGATAAGAATCCGTAATTGGGGGCATAGTCCATTTCGATACAATGATCAAAGGAAGATTGCACAATAAAACTCTACTGGCCATTCATCTGACAAACCTGGGATAAATGATTTAACCAAATTTACCCTGCTGAACGATGTTGGTTAAATAGACAGATCGAAAGGTTATCAGTGAATAAAATGAATTATTTGCACAATCACCAACACAATAGTCAATTAATGAATGTCAGCGATCACAACTCCATCACAAATGTATATACATAGACCACCAACTTGCACAAATAAAATACCAACCATTTAGGATGTGTCAAAAGTCAAATTATCTAGAATACCAACAGCCCTAGGTTATGTAGTAAAAACAAATATCTACTGGAAAAACTATCATCTAACTAAATAACTAAAACCAACAATTAAAAATAAAAGGGAATAATAAAGTATAAAAAAAATCTTTCTGGTTAAAATGCACAGGTATACCTGGGTTATGGACGATATCTAAAAGACAATCACAAGGCTTGCAGTACTGTTATTAGCAGGAAGTTGTACATTGTATGACATTAATGAAACTAAATAACCAGGAATACAAAGTAATCAGAATCCGTTTAAAGTGAAGAAACATCTAATTGCAGAAAGCTGTAAATCTTTGTGTTTTAATGGGCAAGTTACTAAAAAGCAGTGACGTTAATGTTCAACAGCAGTTCAAAAGTGGGTTTCATCTGTATCACTGTTCCTCCTATCAACACTGTCTACTGGTGGAGGAGGAGGGGCATCCACTGGTTTTGTTCTGGTAGGAAGGGTTTTAGCTCTAGTTACTCCCTCTGTGCACTCAATTAACCTTGGTGAAGCCGGCAAATATGTGTCTTCTGGTGCTGCAATAGGTGCTGAACCGGTCCTTTTGTGGGTCTTTATCATACCATTATCTGCCTCATGTTGGACATGTTCTGTTTTTATGACTGGGGGAGGTGGAGGTGGGTCCTTAGGAGAGGATAGAGCTTTGCTAGGTGGAGAGGAAGGCACTTCAATTAACTGGGGGTTTTGGGATTTACATGCAGGTAGAGGAGGTCTGTTAGGTAAGGGTGGTCTATTTGCAGGTACTGGAGGAGCTGGTTTCTTCTTGCTTTTTCTTTGATGTATTCCACTGACGTCAGCACTTACTTTTGTACTGCAATGTAATTATTATAAAACTGTTAACACAGCATAAAGTAACAACATCATATACCCCCACCAACATGACTGATGAAATGCTGGTTGTTATCACAGACAACAATATTCGATATGCTACCTCTAATGCACAACACCATCTTTACAATGTATCCAAATGGTAAGTCCCTATACATCTCCCTTTTGTATCTGAATACTGAAAAGTGATTGTTATCCCTGCTATTGTTGAATAGTGATCCATATTACCGGTATGCTGAAGTTAAATGAACCTATAATGGAACAGTAATGTTTTATTTAAAAAAAACTGTAAATACATTTTGAGCAACTCTGCAACAAGCCGAGACGAATCAATTTTGGGAGAAGTAATATTCTCTCTCCTCCATATCAGTGTGTGGTGGTTGAGGCTTACCTCACTGTTCAACCTGATATAAGCCAACTATCAGAAAATGATAAATAATGCATACTATAAAATGACATAGACTATGCATATACACAACTGTTTAACATAAGATATACATTCAAGTATGGGTACAATTGGACACATTCTTGTCATTTGGATTCATTGACTGAAACTATGAATATAATGTGCGAATGAAACATCACATAACACGACTACACAGGAACATTCAATCAAATTATAATGTATATGTAGGCCTCAAAAATCCATTAATAGTGAGACTTGAAATTTCATCATGTTAGTAATTAGAATTATTAAAATTGATTACATCATTTAAGATAATTATAAGATACATAATTAGTCAAAATATTATTTGAAATATGTTATTCTGATATATATCAAGTGTGTACATGTATATGTAAACAACAATATATGAATTGTGATTGACATTGTGTAACTAAAATATTCACATTACAGAAACTCATGTTATTAGTAGTTTGTATACCGGTATGTGTAACATGACACTGGCTAGGTAAATTAGTCAATGTGTATACGATGTTCACAAACACAGCACATAACAGCTTCGCATGCATATGCATCTGAGAAAGGAACTGAAATCAGATTTGACATGCATACAGACAATAATACCCTTTTCATATTTCGAAAAGCACAAACACAGATTACTATGCTGAAAGAGTATTGTACTGCGAAGAGAAAAAGCAATTACAGAAATACAAAAAGAGCATACAAGGAGAAAAATAATACAAAACAAAAATACAGACACAGATACCTGTTAGTTTTCAGACTGTGGTATTGGAGGTGCTTGCTGGCGTTTTGCAGAAGGCCGAGGACGGGGAGAAGGCTTTAAACTTATGTGAGGTTTATTAGTTGGAATCGGTGGAGGGGGTTGCTTCCGATGACGGGTGCCATCAGGTGTGTGATGAGGAGACACTTTCACAGGCGTTGTTGTAGTAGTGGTAGTGCTAGTAGTAGTAGTAATAGTAATAGAAGTAGTAGGAGGACTAATTGGAGTGGTAGGGTTACCATGTTGCTCACTACTAAAAAGAATACAGTACATTTACAATAATTTAAACTTCTCCCCTCCCCCACTATCCCACCTCAACCCACGGATTTATGGTTTAGCTCTATGGACTAAATACTGTTTGAAATAGTAAGAAAACATTATCTTATTATTGCCAAGATTGATGCAAGAAAAGCCATGCACTATAGGTTAGCCAGATACAATGCTGTTACAATACAAGCACATGTTTGTATGTTATAATAGTTCATATATTATTCAAATTTTAATTACTATGGGTGCAAATTGGTTATATTCATATTCACGCCAGGATGTAGCAGCTGACTGCATCATGAGACACACAATAAATCTTTCATTGACTGACGAGATGAAGGTTGGAGATAGTTATAAAATATTAAGTGGGAAATCATGTTTGGGCTAAATATGATTTTTTTTTTACTATAAATATGATTTTTAATTTTATGAACTTGCCTGCTATTAATACAAACTATGACATGACGTGGGCTCGACAATGAACCCAATATATTATTAAGACTCAGTGGTTTTTAAGATGACTAAATGCAAAATGTATCAGAGATGATAGTCCCAAGTAAATCAAGAGATACAATGTAGTTTTCATTCACAGTAACTATCAATTTCAACAAACTAAGAGGTATGAACTTGAAATAGAAAAGTGCATGTGATGTGCATTCACAGTTCAATACCTAACTACCTAACTGACTAGTTGAACTGAATTAAACTCCAGACAAACAACCTGGACATGCTTTTAGTATGAGATATTTAGAAAGATCAAAAGACAATAGATATTTTGCCAGAAATATCTTGGATCTGATGAAAAAAAATGCCCCTCAGGCAAGTGGTTAATGGTTCATGACCGAACCTATCACTAAGAAATTCAACTATAAATTTAGCAGTGCCAGTTTAATAGTTTTATAATTGATCTGTTGTGAAGTTCTTTCACTGTTTAAGTACAGTGTAGTGCATTTAATTTTTGAAAAACTATATTGAAAACACTAGCATGATTGAAAGATTTGATGGGGAAACCTTTGTGATGTTAGAATGTAGGCCCACGATCATCATAACTTCCGATAGAATGGGTGTGGCAATTCTGACAATGGTTTGACCGCAAGATGTTTGGGATCTTGATGTCAATAAGTGATGATCTCTGGGAATACTAGGCTTTCATCTCTCAAAAACTCTGGATTAGCCTAATGTCAAGTGCCAAGGCCATCCACAATAGTATCAATACAAGACCCAAGACCAAATAGCCAACTAAACCCCAATAGCCACAACCACAAAATACTAGTAGATGTTTTTCTGAATGAGCCCAGCAGGATATGGTTCTCTATGCTGCTCAGTCTCTTAGTGGATTAGGGATTGCCCATATTTTTTTTATTTTCTGGCAAAATATCTATTGTTTTTAATATTTCTAAATATCTCAAACTGTAAGTATGTTCAGGTTCAATTATTTGAGTATAAAAACTTGGATTCTTGTCTTAAATGTTTTTTTAACAATTGAATTTTTACAAACTATTAAGAAACAATCTCAATAAAAAATTTTTAGAAAGTCTTGGTGCAAGAGTGGATTTAGTAGGACTACCAACATTAAGTGAAAGAAAGACCAGATGAATATGTCATATTACACACACAAAAGCACATAAGTCGAAACCAAACAACTTCACATTGATGAAGCATCTTACCTATCTGGTCTGTCAGGCCGCTCAGGCTTTTCTTGATTTTCCAGAAGATTTTCAACAGAGGATGTTTTTCTAACTGGTTGAGGAGGTGTAGTCTGTAAAAGCTGAGTGTGTTCTGGAATGTTCTCATCAGATGCAGCTTTACTGGGTAAAGCCATTGATATTTGAGGTGTACCAAAATCAATTTCTAAGAAACGGCAAGAAAGAAATTGTCTTTTTTTTTTGTTTTAAACGGACCAAGAAAATTGTAGTTCCAGTATTGATCACCAGTTTTAATTGTGTGATAAATCCTTAAACATCAGAAAATAAAATATAGATTGAATGGACAGAACAAGAATGTTGGAAATCTGAAGGAGACAGACATTGTGTAAAGTGTGTCTGAAATAAAGAAGCAAACACCTAAACAAGTGATTTTATTAAATTAAAAGAACCCAGGTCAGCACCTATACACCTTTTAATGAGGTTCTTAATCTACAGTAAAGCAATCTTGCAACAGCCATAACAAACAATTGACTTTAAACAAACTATCATATGTGTCTGTCAATATACATACATGCGGTTATGGGTAGATACTCTTATAAAGAAATCAGTTGAATCCTTTTTACAGATAATATAATTATAAGTATAGATGTCAGAAAGTTAGTCAAATAAGCATGAGAAACCATTAATTGGCCATATTTCAAACAGTCCACTGCAATTATCATACTTGATACTTTTGCAATGATAGCACAGGGACACTTACCGCCAGGAAAGAACCAATCGGCATGAGTGACTAAGGAGTCCACAATACAAGAAGCAGTGCCAGTGGACATCATTGATATACTGTGAAGAAATAAATACACACTGGTGTATGAGCAATGGTAACAACTTTTCACATGCATTTCCATTCATAAAATATATTTGCAGCTCATACAGTAACACATTGCACTGATCAGCTGCATCCATTTTGTACATTTCAAAAAGAACCCCGCCCTCTTCTCAATATTCCTTAGTTAGTCAACCCAAGGTTGTCAGGTTGAGCATCAGGCATCTAACATACAATACTTGTTATATTGGTATTTACATAGGAACAGCTGATATACATGTATATACAAGTCATTTCATAACTTTGGAAACAAATTTAACATCTAATGCAAGTTGAGGCTCAGGTTACTCTTGTTATGATGGATAAGAAATTTCGCATCAGATTTTAAAAATTCATTCTTAAAAGAAATTATCATATAAAAACAATAAAATTGCCACGACTGAGCGAGGTTAGTCATCAATGTACATCAGACTTTACAGCAATTTCAGGCACTGATTTGACGCTGAAGTAGTGCTAGATGTTGATAACTTACTACAATAGGTTACACACTTCGTTTTCACATTTACAGAAGTTGTTACAAATAATGCAGACAGCATGTCTGCAATTGGAAGCGCACCGGAAATCATTGCCTGGAATTGCTGTAACACTTACAGAAAATATAAAACATACAATTTTAAAGAAAACAAAGTTTCCCATCAATTCCAATAGAATAAAATATTCCCAGTATAACATACCTGTCCTCTTGTGACCACAATATGTTAGTCCAATAACCAACGCCAGATTACTTGAAGTCATTTTGGTAACTTCAGAGTATTGCAGTAGTTTATTTAAAATTTTA